GGGAGGGGTGTACCCATACCTACCTCCTACAATCGTATGAAGAGCAAAAGGAAATGAGTTTGAAAGCACTTTGCATACTGTCAGGCCTTGTGTAACAGCGTCCTACACTTTAACCAGCTCTTGACAGGAGTTGTCATTCCTGAATCCAACACCTTTCTTCTGAAGAAGGGTAGGAAGGATGAGATCAGATGTTTGTCTAAGTCCATTTGGGGGAATCTGTGCCCAGTAAAGGCAAACTTTTTACAGTAAAGCACCCCTACCCCAAAAGTCACTGTATTTATAAAAATTTTACATTTCTCTCTCCACATCCCCCCCTATTTTAACTGAGTTTAAAATTAGAGGGAAGTATATTTTGTGAATTAGGGTAGAGGTGGTTCAGAGGTAGATTTCTTACCTTCCATGAGGGAGATCTGGGTTTGAGTCCCAGCCAATGCACCTCACGCACAGCCACCACCCATCTGTCAGTGGAGGCTTGTGTGTTGCTATGATGTTAAACAGACTAAGAAGGACTAGGAAGAAAGGCCTGGCGGTCCACTTCTGAAAATCAGCCAATGACAACCCCATGGGTCACCACAGTGCCATCTGTATCCAATCATGGAGACGGTGCAGGACCCAGCAGCGTTTCGTTCGTTGTGCATGGCGTCACCATGGGTCGGGGCTGACTCAACGGCAGCTAACAATGACATTTTGTGAAACATTTCTTTGTGAAAAAGCGACATTAAAGGAATTTTTATAATCCAAAAACCTAAAAAGACAAAACATTTCCCAAAGGGTCATGCCTCCTTTAACACACATTCACAAAGTTGAAATGTTATTTCGGGGACTCCTGACCACCTCTTCCCCTTTTGAACAGCGTCTGGCTGAAGCCTCATCACCCACATTCACATCCGCAAGCACACACAGTTCTGCTGTTCCCTCTCCATTCACCTCCTAACAGACAACACCCGTAAGCACTTTCACATTTGTGATCCCATCCAGTTCTCCTAAGCCGGAAGTAACACAGGGATGAAGTCACGCCCCGGTAAATGGCTGGCCCCGAGCCACACTGGTCAAGCACAGAGCCAGGCCTGGAACTGGCACCATCTTATGCAAGGTGGGTCCCACCCCCAGCCCCACACTGCCTGGCTACCCTGGTTTGGCAAAGGACAGGAGAACAGAGCTGCATGCTTGTTCTGTGCCCGGGGACAGCTGATTGGCCAACCGTCTCCCAACACCCTGTTCACATGTCCTTGTGCTGCCAAAGTCCCAGGGCCAGGTTGGACGCCAGGACACACCACGCAGGGTGGTGTGTGGACTCCTGGACGTGTTTGACTTAGTGAAGAAAACTGGCTTGACTTCACAAAATCAATCCAGGCCGACTGGTGATCGGAAGTCTCACAACTCACCTCAGGAAAACATGAATTGCAGGGAGGTTGGAATGCGTTCAACAGTATTAATGTTAATCACCCACCCACGCAACCCCAAAAGACAACATACTCTTGGGAATAATGCCAGGCCATTAAGGAACTACGAGATAAAATGTCTAACACGAGACTCAATTTCCTTATCGTCAGAGGCCTGAATTCTACTTTATCACAAGAAAAAGGGAAACTGAGGACAAACTTTCCACGGCTCAAATTAAAAAACAGAAAGGTAGAAAATGGAATCCAAAGCACAACCTCCTTATACACATCAGTGATTCAGTGAAGCCATCATTACGGTCCCTTTCTACCTTTTGAAACGGGCTATTGATTGACTCTAAAGGCCCTGGGTAACACAGTTTGCACTCGACTGCTAACGGCTGGCAGTTCCAACCAACCCAGCAATGCCATGGAAGAAGACCTGGTGATCTGCTTCTGTAAAGATTACAGCCAAAAAAAAAAGACCCTATGGAGCAGTTCTACTCTATAATACTCTGGAATCAGCTCGGCAGCAATGGGTTTGGTTTTACTTAACGATAGGCCAAAACATGTACCCCAGAAATTAGAGTAGACGTTGGTGTTGTTAAAAGGAAAGGATCTGGATCCGAATTAACAATCAGGCTGAGTCTTGATTCTGAAAGGAAGCTGTGAGAATGTACTGGACATCCGTGGGGAAGAGGCGAACCCTTTGATAAGCAGAGAAGTATGTGGATTCAGCTGTAATTCTAGTTCCCATAGGAGCAAGTCAGATACACATCACCTAATTATTTCTCTAGTGAATCACCCTCCATCGCCTGCCCGTCTCCTCCAGCTCAGTTCCAGGGAGGGCTGGGGTGCTTCTCAGGGGGTGCCCATCCGCCCTGGGCATGCAATCAGACACACAAAGGCCAGACTCTGATGAGTTGAAATAATAAAGAATTCTCTTACATACACCTCCGCTGATGCAGACGGCTGAGAGAGGACATAGCATTCCCCTCTCAGAGGCTGAGACTGCAGTCTCTTGGAACCTATAGACCTGGGTGAAGAAAGGCTCAAAATCACTAAGAACATGGAAGTGCTTTCAAGCAGTTTTGTATTCTTTTTCTGGCTGCCAAGCATTAGCTGTGTGACCTTTGACAAGGCACCAACAGGAAACCTTTGCTTTCTCTGTGAAATGCATCTAACGTCTGTGCCACTTCCCACACAGGATTATTCTCAAAGGTTCTTTAAATAAAGTACATGCAAAAATAGATAAATGAAAGGTATTATAATTGCTGGAGCCCTGGTGGCGCAGTGGTTAAGAGCTACAGCTGCTAACCAAAAGGTCAGCAGTTCTAATCCACCAGCTGCTCCTTGGAAACACTATGGGGCAGTTCTACTCTGTCCTACAGGATTGCTATGAATCAGAATTGACTTGACAGCAACAGGTTTTTTTTCTTTTTGGTTTATTATAATTCTTTCAATTAATTTGGAGAAATGAATTTCTTTCTCAGAATATGGAATTGAATGCTATCTTCAGGGTCTGAAAAAAAAAAACTAGGTTTATTTTCTAACAAATGAAAATAATTGAATTACAGAAAAGCCTAATTATAATTCTCTTTCATATCCACTAGATTCATAATTTACATTAAGTTTGTTGGTTAGGGCATTGATTAAAATCACTGCTGTATAAAATGCCTCCTTCAATAATTCTTTGGGAATGCAAATTCAAGGTTCTCAAACAATAAGCACACTTTAAACATGAAATAATGTTGACATTCTAGGAGATAATTAAGAACATTAGGAAACCATAATGTTATCAAAAATGTTTTTATATAATCTTACTGATTTCCTCAAAATGGATATGAAAGGGAAATTTGAATTAGAAGTCAACTGAAAACCTTTGTACTCAGGTATCATACTAAGAGCATAAAACATTCAATAAAACAGCATTGATAACCCCAGCACAGGAAGCTTCTGCTTTTGCAGATGCCTAAATCCAAGCTCTTTATCAACCTCTGGCACTCGGCTCTAGGTGAGTCCTGCCTTGAATACTAATCAAGTGGAAATGACCTTAAATTAACACTCTAATGTAAAAACCTTCCTTTAAAAATCATGACAAGGAAATACATTCCTCTAATAGACTTTTGGAAACTCTGGTGGCACAGTGGTTAAGAGCTACAGCCGCTAACCAAAAGGTCGGCAGTTCAAACCCACCAGGCACCCCTTGGAAACCCTACGGAGCAGTTCTACTCCGTCTTATAGGGTCGCTATGAGTCGGAATCGACTCGATGGCAAAGGGTTTGGTTTGGGTTTTTTTTGGTAATAGACTTTTGGAAGGTTAGAACTGATCTTAGAGAGTGTTTAGTCCAACATTTATTTTATAGAAATGATGGCTTTTGACGCCTGGCAGCACTTTTTATAAGAATGACCAAAGACTTCCAATATTGGTATTTCTCTGGATAATGATCAGTTCCTGAGCACTGTCAGTGTGGAACGTCATACCACAAGAAAGTCCACACCAAGTGAAGGCATTGTACTGCCCCATTTATGAAACATGGTAAACCCACTGCCATCGAGTCGATTCTGACTCATAGTGACCCTATAGGGCAGAGTAGAACTGCCCCATAGGGTTTCCAAGGGGCGCCTGGTAGGTTCGAACTGCCGCCCTTTTGGTTAGCAGCCGTTGCTCTTAAACTAAGAGTTATTTCCATAAGTGGTATTCAGATTCGGGTAATTTTTGTCCATTCTGAACCTAGGACTTACTAGTGATGTGGTTAGCTTCTGGAGGCTACAAATGAACGTGTCTGGAGACACACAGCACAACAAAGACTCACACACTTGGTTTCCTGCTCCACATTTATTGGGGCTAGAGAGACTAAAACAGCTATTTTCCTCCCGAAAAACTGGAAAAATATAATACAATTGCAATTTCTTAAATACATAACAAAACTTTCCGAATCATTAATCAACATGAGATGTAACAGCCTGTAGATATCAACTGTGACAGCTTTATAAAATTTCATTCATCTAAGGCATTTTCAAATTTGTTCTTAAAGTTACACATTCATACAGGAGTCTTTATACAAAAAGGCATCCATTCATAAACAGAAAGAAAAGTCTTCTAGAAGCACAGTGTAGGGAAGGCTAAAGTAATACATGTTTAGACTCTGAATAATTTTTAAGAGAAAATTTGGGATTCAAAGGAACAGTGATTTACATTCAAACAAACACGTGGATTTTCAAATCCAGATAGTTAAGATTTTCATGATGCAGGCTACAAGAAAATTCACTTATTTGTTTTTCAAAGGCCTCTTTCAAAATACAGATTTTACGTCCAGAGCGAACATTCATGGCATGAATAAGTAGGACAGCTAACACTCTAATATTTGCTTCCATATAAGCTTTCCTCCTCCCCTCACTACCTAAAAACAAGAGAAAATTTTTTGGATGGAGCAACAACCAAATGTTGTATCATTACCTTAAATAGTGTTTCTAGGTGGTGGGTTATCACATCCAGATAACAATTTGATAAAGGATATTTTATTTCTATTTCAAATAGACTATACTACTTCAATCCTATAGAGCACAGGTCTACTTTGACACACATGGGGTCACCATGAGTTGGAATCAAGTCCATGGCAACTTGTTTAGTTTTTTTTTTTGGTTTATGCTTACTTCAAACACAAAAATATTTTTGCCACAACATCCAAACATTATTATCTAGACTTATATTTCTTCCTAGCACAGAATCACTAGGAGAGGATAAAGCTGACAGAGGAAGGAGATAAGGTGAAATTCTTCACTTGCCAATCATCCAAAATGAAAATACGAGCCTCTGTTGGTATCAGCTGTCTCCCTGTAAACAAAGCCTCTAGATCGTCTTGGTCTGGCCCTTTGATACACCAGAGATACGTCTGGGTTTAACCTACCAACTGGTTCCTGTTGATTCGGACAATCTCACACAGGCCAATTCATTTAGCTGGTTAAAAAAGAAGTCGTCCTCCTTCCCCCCGCCTCCCCCACACCAAGGCACTTACCAACATTTTAAAAGTTAAATCCAGTTATTTAAAATCTGTTTGGCAAACAACCCTCTCTCCCCCCAAAAAAGGAGGTGATTCTGTTACAGTATCTCTATGAGAAGACAAGTTCCTTCAGTTTTGCCAAGGAAATGGATGCTTTCTTCCACCGTTACTCCAAATTCAGGAGCTGTCCTTCTGATAACATTTTCGGTTACTTGAAACCAGCTCCTGTTTAAAGATTCTTTGTGGAGCCAGGCTTACTCATAGTGATGGTATAGGACAGAGTAGAACTGCCCCATAGGGTTTCCAAGGAGCATCTGGTGGATTCAAACTGCTGACCTCTTGGTTACCAACCATAGCTCTTAACCACTATGCCACCAGGGTTTCCAAGCCTGGAGAGTTTAATTAGGAGGAGTACACGGCCAATACTGATATTCTTGTCATAAAAGTTCCATTTCAGCTGAGTTCCTGTGATCCCCTGAGCAGTTATAAATGCCCTCGTACCTACGATGAGGCAGTAGGCTATGTGTATGTAAGTAAAGGCAGTGGCCTACACAAGTGTATGTACAATGATATTCATACTAATACAAAACACTTCGATAGAAGAGGGTTGTTTTTTTTTTCCTGAAGTGTTTAGTGCTTTAGAAGAAAAGCAAAGACTCTTAATATTGAGAAATGTCTAATACATGATTAAAAATGGTTTGGGTTGGTTGCCAGTCAAAAGTTTTCCCGGAGTTCTCATCTATGTTCTGTATAAGCTGTAAATAAACTGTACGTGACCAACAGATGTACTACACATATATCAAGTATATACACGTGAATTAAAGTACTTTAAATACACGCATTCCCACTTAGTATACACGTTCCATTACATAAGCAAAGCATCATCCTTTAATAATAGGTCCAAGATAGCAGCAATTGAACACACCAGTTACCTCAAAACATACCACAGGCCCGGACGGTTCCTGAGATGGTACTCCTGGCGTCAAGACAAGCTCCCCATGAACACTGAGTACAGTTATCATGAAGCGCCATCCCGTGTGACTAATGGTAATTATGTATAATCCTGTCACCGGAGAAAAAGTTTTTTATCTTTTCAAAACCCGTTTATTAAACAGCTGATAATAGGAAAAACAAGTCACAGTAAAGTGACATCAATCCACACCCTTTAGGAAATAGCAAGCATTGAGGTTTTATTTCTTACCTATTTATTATTGTTTCGTCGGGGCCTTTTACAAACAGAAAGTCCTCAGACGGCCTCAACAGATGCCGAAAGGGCAGGATGAAACGATGCCGAAAACAGAACCGCTCAGAATTGTTTGAAAATATGTACATCACGTGATTCTCAGTTTGTTTTACAAAAAGAGATGACATGCTATTATACTATTTACTGTTTTAAAAGAGTTATTTTTATGAGTTTACATACACCCTCGGATAAGTTATTAACTCAGAACCAAAATTCACATATATAATGTGCAAAAAATATGTAGGTTGATTTATAATAAACCATATTGGTCACAGAAGGAAAGATAAAATGGCTTTTCAGTAAACATTTATTTTGTGTGTACTGTTGGGTATATCCATGCGTGCCCAAGGGATAGGAATTCTGGGTGGGCCGGAAATTATATGGATTCTAGATGTGCATACGGACTTTAATCTTTGCTCCTGGTGTGTATCTTTAGATCCAATTCTCCATCCGTTGGGTGCATGGACACAGAAGAAAGGTCCCTGTTATCTATGGTGAGGGTTCTGCACCTCTCCTACCCTACCCATATTTCATCTAAAGCAATTGTCTGGCTACTGGCTGTAAGAGCAGAGCCGATGGCCTGCAGGGAGTTCCACCTGCCCGGGGGGGGACACTGAGTTCGACCAGACTGCTCTACGTGCTGCACCTCGATTGCTGGGAAGGGACAACTCTCACAGCAGTTTCTCCTTCTTGAAGCCAAGATGACACAAACCAAACCCACTGCCACCGAGTTGATTACGACTCAGCGACCGTATAGAGCAGAGTAGAACTGCCCGGTAGGGTTTCTAAGGAGCGCCTGGTGGATTTGAACTGCTGACCTTTTGGTTAGCAGCTGTTGCTCTTAACCACTATGCCACCAGGGTTTCCCAGATCACACAAGGAGAAATCTATTGTGTTTCTGCCAAGGCAGTGTGGGAATGCTGGGACCAGTACATCGAGCGGCCGGCAAAGGCAGAACCACCACATCTACTCCTAAGACAAGCAGCCTGCTTTGTAGCTGCTACGAGAACTTTCCTTAAGCAGTCTTACCCTTCCCCTCCATGCTTCCACGTTGGTCAAAGCAACACAAAGCAGACTTCTGCTTCTCAGATACCACATATGCTGCCAACAGTTAGACAACGTATTTATTATATCGAATGTTCACTCAGGCCCCTTGAATTTGGCTGGAAGTTCAACAGCCCAGTTGGGATCCTTTAAGTGATCAAACAATGAAGTCCTAGTTCCCCGCAAGCCATCCCAAAGCTTCCAGACACGCTCCTTAGACATGGCCTGGACTGGAGAAGCGCGTTCTCTTTCCACAGGAACACAAGCATCACGGACTTGGCCTTTTCCAATGCCGGAGGCTGGCAGGCAAGTCCGAAGTCTGGACGCAAGAGGCACTTGCAAAGTTTGGCAAGAAGAAGGAGGCGAGTTCACTGAGTGGGGCTTTATCACTGTGCTGACTAGTGGAACCCAGACACCCGTGGAACGTGAGCACGGACAGAGCCTTTAGGTTGTGGATGGGTCATGGTTTTTCTTCTTGCCCCTACAGGACTTGCAGACACAGCAGATTATACACGGGGAGGCCAGGAGGAGCAAGGGTGAAGTCACCAAGGCGATGATGCCCAATCCCACGAGAATCCCCACCACCTGGAAATTTAGAAGAAAAGCGTATTTCAGCAGTTAAACCTTGTATGTATACGTATACTTACTGTACCCTATCGTAGCTGTTGCTGTGTGCCATCAAGTCGATTCCGACTCACAGTGACCCTACAGGACAAAGCAGAACTACACCCATAGTTTCCCAGGCCATAACCTTTATGGGACAGATCACCAGGTCTTTTCTCTTGCAGAACTGCTGGGTGGGCCGAATCGCCCACGTGTGGTTAGCAGCGGGTGCTTAGCCATTGCGCCACCAGGGCTCCTTTATTACACCATACCCGGGCACATGAAAGTTACAGTCAGGGAGCCTTTTAGCCAGGCCCAGCAACAGTCTGAACTAGACAGAAAGCACGGTGAGAAGGGCACATCAAATTCTAACTCAACCTCTACCGTAACCTCAAGTACAATCATTACCTGTTGGTGCCGGCTCTCTCTCTACCTAGGTCTCTACAACAAACTCACAGGGGCGTTAGTAACGATTCCTAGGATATTAACATTGACTCACTCAAAGGGAAGATGACAACATGGCCTCTAATAAATATATAACATTATTAAAAATAAGGCTGTCTTTGAACCTGCTGCACAAACACACAACGGCTCGTACAGAGGACACCAAGCCCCACCAGGGCCTCGTAGGAATTTAAAACACTGCCTTTCATGGCTAATACACCTTAAAAGGTTTTCATAAAGTCATTCCACCTTTTTTTTTTCAAGAGGAAAGAACACCTGCCTTCAATCTGCAGGTCACTGTTAAGTGTTTACGCCACTCTGGTGCCTCTGTGCCCCCACTTGTCCTCAGGGGGACTGTGCTCATCAGGTTAACATCAGGAAGTTGCTTCGTTACTTTTCCCTAGTCCTGCCCTGGAACCCCCCAGAACCTTCCAGGCTGGGATGGGAGAGGAGGTGACAGAGTGGGGAGGATGGAGAGGTGGGCTCTTTTTTCTTGTCTTTCAAGATAAGCGCATTAGCACCTCATTTATTATTAAAAAGTTCTACTTAAACAAGATATGTGAACTGACAGACATAGATATTAAATTACTTCAGATAAAGCATGCACAATATTCAGAGGGCATTGGTGTTACATTGATCAGTTGTCTGAATTACTCATTATATCAAGTTGAGGTATAGAGTCAAAATTTGTTCTGAGGAAAAAATTCAATCCTAGTGTCTTTTTTCCCAAGAGGTGGGCTCCTGAAGCTCTCATAAGTCTGGGCTATTTCCTGCTCCCTTTCAGGTGAGGATACCTGTGTTCGGTTCCACATCACTGATGCTCTGGAGTGGCCCAGTTTGTTCCTACACGGTCCTTTGTCATAATGCCTGAGGAAAATGTCATTCTGAAAAACAAAGAAAGAGGCTTTGGTCAACAGGCAGCTCTGAATGAGAGAGGGCTACAGACCGTATTGGACGGTCTGACTGGAATCAGGGGCCCTTCGGCCGATTAGTGACTCCCTCTAGGAAGTCCAACCTGTAATCTTTAGATTATAAGTCAGTAGTTTTGTAAATCACCAAGTGAAAACAGATCATAATAAATTAGACTCTAGATTGATTCTAAACAGGAGTAACGACCTGGTCTACTTATTTCAGAAAGGCAGCTCCAACAGAGGTGCAATACAGAATGAAATGATCGAGAGTAGGGCAGTTGGAAGGCCATTTGAATAAATCAGGTGAGGGAAAATAGCAATGGCTGGGGGATGATGAAGAAGAAAATACAATCATGAGACATTATGAAGGTAACTGACTACATAAGGGAAACAGGGAAGTGACCCCACAGAAACAGATTTTGTTGGGAAGACGATGACCATGCTAAATTTGAGAGATCCTTGAGATGTCCAAGCAGTACCATTCAAAAGACAGCTGACTATACAGATCTGGAGTTTGGGAGAAAAAAAAAGACTTGGGAATCATGGGTTGGAAGAACCACAGAAGTGGTGGAGACTACCCAGGCAGAAAGGATGTAAAGTGAGAAGCAACAAGGCTGTCCAACACAGACATGTAAAGGATGGGTTAAGGAAGACTCTAGAAAGGGAACTGAGAAGTAGTCAGACAGGTGGAAGGGGAACCAGAAGACATGGTATCACTCAGGTGAGTAGAGTGGTCAAGTGTCAGATGCAGCAGAGAGGCCATGTAAGATAAAGACTGAAGTGTCGATTGGATTTTACCAATAAGAAATCACTGGAAACCCTGGAAGGAAGACAGCAAAGTTATGACTATGTGGCAATCAGTGTCCACTGCTACAGAAGTACACTGGATGGAAGTAATGTCAACAGCAAGAGGGGATTATGCTACTTTGAAGCTTGGTTTCTAAAGGAAGAGACATGGAGGGGTGGTAAGGGACAGATGCTCAAATGCTTAAGCACTGGTCTACTAACCAAAGAGTTGGCAGTTCACACCCACCCAGAGGCACCTCAGAAGAAAGGACTGGCAATCTGCTTTTGAAAGGTCACAGCCTTGAAAACCCTATGGAGCTGTTCTACTCTGTAATACATGAGGTCGCCATGAGTCAGGAATCAACTCAACAGCAATAGGAGAAAGATGCGTGAGAAAAAGTTCACTCGTTTTTCAATGAGACCAACTTGAATAAGTGGGTATGTTGAGAGAGTAGACAGCTGAAGCTGAAGTCACAGGACAGAGAAGACATAACTAAAGGGGACCAGTCCCTGAGGATACAGCTGGAAGTGGAATCCCAAAGCAGATTAAGAACACCTCATCCTCTGAAACTACAAGAAAGAGGATCAAACTAGGAGATCACTCGAGCAAAACCCCAAATCACTCTGTTTGGTGTCTGTCTCGGGCTGGGAGTCTGGACAGTCACCCTTATCTCTGGCCCCATGCCTATAAACACAGCTAACCATCACCATCTGTTACGGATTGAATTTTGTCAAAAATATGTGTTATAAATCCAAACCTCTATGCCTGTGGTTATAATCCCATTTGGGAATGGGTTGGCTTTGTTATGTTAATAGGCAGAATTAGTGTAGGATGTGTCTGGAGTCAGTCTCTTTTGAGATGTAAAAGAGAGATGGGGTAAGATAGATGCCAAGCCACATGGAGATCTCCAAGGAACCAGGAAGCAGAAGCTGAAGAGACAAGGGCCTTCCTGCAGAGCCGACAGAGAGAGAAAGCCTTCTCCTAGAGCAGGCACCCTGAATTTGGACTTCTAGCCTCCTAAACTGTGAGAAAATAAATTCGTTTGTTAAAGCCGTCCACTGGTAGTATTTCTGTTACAGCAGCACTAGATAACCAAGACACCATCTAACACAGAACACTTGTCTAGAGAAAAACATAGCTACCAACATACCAGTTGCCCTGAGCTAAAACAGAGAACACAAGGTCAAGTGATCACAACAAGATTTTTCCACGTTCGAAGTCTGTGTATCCAGCCATTTAACATCTGTACCATCTCATGTCCAGTTCCAGAACAGTATGTTCTCTGCAACACCATACCCCAAACATACTGCAGGCAAAGGATGCAGAGATCTGATGTACTTGTTGACTTCCTTACATTTCTGCCTCCTAAAGAGAACCTCATGGGCCAGACTTCTATCAACCCAATTAGTATTCTGGTTAAAACTGAAGTTAAAAAAAAAAAAGACTGTTTTCATTTGTAAAGCATGAAAGGTATAGCAATCCTCATTCAGTTATCACTCATTTGGAATTATGGTAGGTCTCAAATATCAAACAACTATAATTCAAGGGGTTATGATAAATCCAATTTTTTAAAAAGAACAAAAAAAAATTTATTTCAACCTGAGCTGCTAAGAGTGTCACTAAAATGTCAATTTTCTTCCACTCAGCTTATGCCTCTTCTCAAAACACTGAGACTGAGCTCTTATTTGGACTTCTAGCCTCCTAAACTGTAAGAAAATAAATGAGTTTGTTAAAGCCATCCACTTGTAGTATTTCTGTTACAGCAGCACTAGATGACTGAGACACCATCTGACACAGAACACTTGTCTAGAGAAAAACATAGTTACCAACATACCAGTTTCCCTGAGCTAAAACAGAGAACACAAGGTCAAGTGATCAGAACAAGATTTTTCTTAAGACTCTTATGACTTCTCTAACTTTCCGTTACAAACCAGGCAGGACACGGCCACCACGCAATCCATGTGAACTGCGTATTCATGGAGCACGTATGACGCTAAAGCACTCCACAACTGCTTATGGAACGGACGCAAACTAGGCAAAATCAACATGAAAAGCTGAGAAAAGAGCGGCAGACCCACCATGGCTGGGGGGCTCAAGCTAACATGGACGTATTGCATAGGTCAAACTCGCAAACAATAGGGAATCTCCATAAACCACCTGGAGCCCTGGTGGCGCAGTGGTTAAGAGCTCGGCTACTAACCAAAAGGTCGGCAGTCTGAATCCACCAGTCGTTCCTTGGAAACCCTACGGGGGCAGTTCTACTCTGTCCTATAGGGTTGTTAGAGTCGGAATTGACTCCACAGCAAAAGGTTTGGTTTTCGTTTATAAACAACTTAACCCCACCCCAGCTTTAAAACACTGAAACTGAAGAAAGACCTGTCCACCAACTCTTCACACCACCCGTTAAGTGATTTCCTGCAGGTTGGGTGTTGTCTTACCTTATTACTATGTAAAGAACTCTGAGTGTATTAGATTTGTATTGCTGCTCTAACAAATGATCACAAATTTAGTGGCCTAAAACAACACACACTTGTCGTATATTAGTAGATTAGAAGCCTCATGTGGGTCTCCCTGGCTAACATCAAGGTGCCCACAGGTCTCGATCAGCCTTGGCACAGGGCTGGATGAAACTGCACCTGAATCGGAAGAGACAACCTCCATGACTGGTGAGGGAAAATAATAACTGGCCAGGCCCCATAATCTGGGAAAGGGACACTGACAATCAGTAGCAATACCACTGTCAGGCCAATGAATGGGAGCTAGAAAGCTGTTTAAGACACACCACTTATTTGAATTTTTTTTTTTTTTTAATTCAAAAAGAGGAAAACAAATGAATCATGGTAAGCAGAATACCAAAACCAACAAACAAACCAAACCCATTGCTGTTGAGTGGATTCCGACTCATAGCGACCCTACAGGACAGAGTAGCCTGCGTCATGAAAATCTTAACTACCAGTTAAGAATTCTGATTTCTCAGATTCTCCCCTGAGCCTCCAGAAAGGAACACAGACCTGTGGACACCTTGATGCTAGCCAGTGAGACCCACATCAGGCTTCTAATCTACAGAACAACTATACGACAAGGGTGTGTTGTTGTAAGCCACTAAATTTGTGGTCATTTGTTAGAGCAGCAATACAAATCTAATACACTCAGAGTTCTTTGCATAGTAATAAAGTAACACAACACCCAAGCTGCAGGAAATGTCCCTAAACCAAAAGCTTGCCTTTAAAGCTGAGGTGATACATTTAAGATAACGCAGGAGAGGTTTTACAGATACCCAAAGAAACAGGCTCGCGAAGTCTCACTAAGAAAAACAGATTCCTTTTGCAGGACAAAAACAGGCTCAGTATTTTTAAAGGAAGGCCTGTAGGATACTGGCTGTTCAGACTGCGTATGCGGGAAGCCCCAGCAAGACCACACCAGAAGCCTCTTCCACACGGAACTTACGTCCAGGTTCTGCAGACAGTACCAGCAGAATGCGTGCTTGCAGTTCTTGCACATCATCTGAGCACAGCCTTCGTTGCGTTCAATATAAACCCGGCAAACTGGGCACTGCTTAATGGGGCTTTCTGCGTCTGTCCCAAAGAGGGCCCTAGAAACAAAATGGATGAGAAATTGTGAGGGTTTAGGATCGGGAATGCTGCCTAATAAAAAAGCAAGAACCACAAGGACACACACTAAACAGCGCTGTGGAAAGAGCGGTCTGAACATAATTACTGCATTTTACACAAATAACACCTTCTATGTTTGTTTGCCAATTACTCCTCCCCCAGCAAGGTTTTTTTTGCCAACTGTTTTTTTTTTTTTTTTACATGTTGCTGTAAAAGAAAAAAATAGCATAGCGCACTTATGAAAATACCTCGCCGGGGGTGGGGCACAGCTGGCAAACAAACACAGAAGGTGCACGTTATTTGTGTAAAAATATGGTAATTAATTAAAGCCCTTCTGAAAGGTCCCTGGGTGGCGCGAATGGTTTGCGCTCAACTGCTAACCTAAACGTTAGCACTTCGAACCCACCCAGCGGTAACGCAAAAGATAAGGCCTGGCAATCTGATTCCGTTAAGGTTACAGCCAAGAAAACACTACAGAGCTCAGTTCTGCTCTGTAAGACGTGGGGTCGCCATGAGTCAGAGTCGACTCCACAGGCAACCACCACCACCAACACACTCAACACCACGAACTTCCAGGGAGCCTAAAGGGTGGGTCGGTCATTAACTCTTAGTTATCTGTGCTTGACTTGCTTCCCAGGAAGGGGGTAAAATAGGAGAGGTTCAGATGGCTCAGAACAAGAATCTTTAATTTTTTAATCTTTGGCTTTGAGTGAATTATGTAATTACACTGTCCACAGCTGATTTAACTCAGTATTTTGCCAAATGCATGTTTCATTCCCTGGGCACACATTGTCTGAATAAGAAGTCCAAGAAGTCTGCCACACAGCAGAGACACTAGTCCAGGATCCAAACCAGGCAGAGCTAATTTAGCTCATCATTTGTTCGTCAAACGAACGGGAAGTGGGACAGAAAACTCAATAATCAGTACTTCTTTAAAATGCCCGATATTATTGAAAATATTGAAGAAAAAAACAAAAACCCTGCTTCAAAGAGATGACTGGGCCAGCACAGGCTCATGGTCTAAGCAAAAAAACCAAACCAGTCGTCGCCAAGCTGGTTCTGACGCATGGCAACCCCACGTGTGTCAGAGTAGAAATGCACTCCCTAGCATTTTCAGTGGCTGATCTTTTGGAAGCAGATCACCAGGCCTTTCTTCTGAGGCACCTCTGGGCGGACTCAAACCTCCACCCTTTCGGTTAGCAGCCCAGCACGTTAACCATTTGCACCACCCTGAGACTCCTCACAGCCTAAAGAAGCATAGAAAATAAGAAGGGGAACACACTGGGGTGGGGCGGGGCAGAGAGGACAGGCGAGCCCCAGCACCAGGTTAAACTTTAGCTGCTGCTGATTAAAATCACCACCCAGCACACAGAGACATCCAGCTCACAAAGTGCCGTCAAACCTGCGATCTGATGGGGTACCGACAATACCGATACAGTAGTAAGACAGTTACTACTTTAATCACCCCCCCTTTTTTGAGATGGGAAAACAGACTCCAAGCACCTGAGTGACTCGCACGAGGTCACACAGATACCAACTGACAATGTCATAACTCAAATCCTCCTCCTCTGGGTTGCTGATATTGCCCAGGCTACTCACACACCTGACTGCTGGGACGGTAAAAGGCAGGAGCCTGGCTTTAAATCTGGCTGTGAGGCCACAGGTCTGCAATGTGCACGGATCTTCCTTCCCTCTGGTTTGTTTGGTCTTAGATCCAAGCACAGCATCATAGCCAGGTAACATTAATATTCTTGAAAATGGCTCTGTACACTTGAAGGGCGTTGGGCAATTAAACCAAATGGTCTACAACACTGCTATTTCTGTTCTTGCTAATGCAGAACAGCCATAGCCTCAAGCAAAGCAAGGGATCAAACACAAAGGTCTCTCACTCTGGGCCCTGCCGCTTCCGTAAAAGCTCTCCACGCTAAAAGGGACAGACTCAACTGATTCTCATGACAACAAATCTCAACCACCTTTTCAGAGAATAAATTAGAGACACACTCTTTTCCTGTACTACCTAAGAATCTGGGCTGTCCTAGACTGTGGGGGTATTGTTTCTCTTGTTATGTTTTCTCTGACTGGCAATTTAGTTGGGTAAGAAAATAATTTCTGCCCCATTTTGTAAGCACGAAGAACAAAGTGTACCGCGAGCGGTGGACACAGTACTTCAGCAAACAGCTGTCAACAAGCCAAGACTTCCCACTAAAAACCAGTGCGTTACAGCACCTCTCTACCTAACGAGAAAGCAAAATGATACAAACTCTGATTTCAGCAATATCTTGGAAGATTCTCCAGCCATAAATAACTAACATCCCCTTAGAAATGCTTCATTGATTATTCTTTACTAGCAGTTTACCAGTTCTGAGACAAGTTCTTCAGGGAAACAACCAATCTGTACATGCCATCACCATAACGGTGTTGGTGAAGAATACTGAATACACCATGGACTGCCAGAAGAACGAACAAATCTGTCTTGGAAGAAGTACAGCCAGAACGCTCCTTAGAAGCAAGGATGGCGAGACTTCGTTTCACGTACTTTGGACATGTTATCAGGAAGGATCAGTCCCTGGGGAAGGACATCATGTTTGGTGAAAGTACAGGGTCGGCAAAAAAGAGGAAGACCCTCAAGGAGATGGACTGACACAGTGGCTGCAGCAATGGGCTTAAACATAGCAACAATCGTGAGGGTGGTGCAGGACCGGGCAGTGTTCCATTCTGTTGCACACGGTTCGCTAGGAGTCGGAACCGACTCGACGGCACCGAACAACAACAACACACACCTTCACGGGGGCAGTGCTGGTTCAGTGGTAGGTATCTCGCCTTCCATGTGGGAGACCCAGGTTTGATTCCTGGCCACTGCGCCTCATGCACAGCCACCACCTGTCTCTCAGCGGAGGCTGGCGTGTTGCTACGACGCTGAACAGTTTTCAGCAGAGCTTCCAGGCTACGATGACGAGGAAGAAAGGCTTGGTGATCTGCTTCTGAAAATCAGCCAGTGAAAACTCCATGGATCACAACAGTCCTATCCGCAACCACCCACGGGGATGGAGCAAGACTGGGCAGCATCTCCTTCCTTTGTGTGCGGGCTCATCATGAGCCGGGGTGACTTGACAGCAACTAACAGTAACAACACGCCATCCCAAGATATCTCCTTCTCCAAGAAGCCCAGCGAGTCACCCTAAAGACCAACTTCCCTTTCTTACCCATGCTCTGTGGGCAGGACCACAGGCTGACTGTCTCTGCAGGAGACATCTGCATGCCAAGCGTCCTTGCAACACGAGCAGAATTTCAAGTGGCAAGAAGGGCACTCCACCAGCACGGGCTGTCCTGGGTCACTGGACGCCACGCGGCACACCGTCTGACAGTCTGCGACGGGACACCATGTCCGGTAGGGGTCCAGGTGAACCTCTAAAGTGTAAAAAAGAGAGCGTGATGGTCTTTCAGTCAGCCTGGAGGCTTTCCCCTTTCATTTATTCTTTTTTTTTTCCAACAATTTCTACATGTTTTATTCAGTGACATTGATTACATTCTGAAAGTTGTGAAACCATTCTCACTATCTTTTTCCAAATTATCCCACCACTATTACCATACACTCAATGATCCCGAAGCAAACACTCCCCCTTTCTCTTTCCCTTCCACTCCTGATAGCCACTGATCATGTTCGGTTTGTATATATTTGCTTATTTCATAGAAGAAAGGTCATACAGTATTCGTTCTTTTGTGACTGGCTTACTTCACACAGTATAATATTTTCAAGGTTCATCCATGTTGTGGTATATGCATCGGGACTTCATTTCGCTTTATGGCTGAGTATCATTCCATTGCATGTCTGGACCACCTTTTGTTTCTCCATTCATCTGCAGATGGACATTCGATTGCGTCCACCTTTTGGCTTATACTGAAAAGTGCTTCAGTGAACGTCAGTGTACGGGTTTCTGTCTGTCTGTGTTCCTCTTGTCCCTTCTTCCCGGTATATAAGTAGGATTGGGACTGCTGAGTCATACGGCAATTCTGTGTTCAGCTTTTTGAGGAACCATCAAACTGTTTTCCACAATAGCTGTACCATTTATTTATCTTCTTTTGTAGGCCAACATTTATGGAAGTACAGTACAACCAAGGACAATGATTTCTATGACAGGTCTTTTTAATGAATTCAAACCTACTGCCCACAAGCTGACTCATCCCAGCTCCATTTCTCCAAGTAGGTACCAAGGGATAGATCACCACCGCCCTTAGGAACAGATATGTCATGCTCTCACTCATCAAAATTGGTAACTCTTCTGGAATGTTTCTTGCCCTTGAGGACACAAGGAAGACAAAAATCCCAAGTCTCTTCTATAATTATTTTGGATACTATCTTGGAGGAAAACTAAACATGAAGAATCTGTTATGGGTAGGGCAGAAGGGGGAGTCTTTTTCACAAAAGATTTTGTCCTTTTGGGCACTGAGAAATAGGTAGCGAATTTTCCTCTGTTGTAGACAAGAAAATTAAAGAACAAGGAAAGGTCAAATACCATTTATGGCCCACAGAGTGTCTGGTATAGCTTAGCCAAGAAGTCAGATTACCTGTCGATATGGGTATTCTGCTGCCCAACCAGTGTGCTAAAAAAATCGGCTGCCATCAAGTCGATTCTGACTTACGGTGACACCACCATGTGTGTCAGAGTAGAACTGTGCTCCACAGGGTTTTCAATGGCTGATTTTTCAGAATTAGATCACCAGGCCTTTCTTCCAAAGCACCTCTGGGTGGATATGAACCTCCAACCTTTCGATTAGCGGTCAAGCATATTAACGGTTTGTGCCACTCAGGGACACCACCAATGCAGTAGTTCAGAATAATTTGTAAATGACCTACATGCTCTAAAAACAAGAGGTAGGGACTTTCACAGACTTGACAATGACAGCCAGTGATACCACATCAGCTGCATCCACAAGCCATGTACATCCTTCATTGACAAAGAAAACGGGCTTGTGGGGAGGGAGGGGACAGCTATCTGTATTCAACTGTTCAGATATCTTGCTCAGTTTTCCTTTGTCTGTTCAACAACAGACCCAGTGTTCTCTCTCTATAATGTGATCTTTGAGGGAACATATCATGTGAAAAAATGATGTTATTTGAGGAGTGGCCTTTTTTTTTTTTTTTAAATCTCTGAACAAATGTATTTTACAAATTTGAAACTGATTTAAGATTTCTAGTTTTAAACCTCCTAGGGCTTGTGATCCTTGGAAATTTATACACATGAGGCAAACACCAAAGGGTATGCAAAAAGGAAATGAAGGCATTAAGTGGGAGTTTTGTTTTTAAAACTAATAATTTAACAAATTCAATTATCAGGAAAAAAAAGTTTGAAGCGTTCCAGTAAACACTGGGTCCACTGACGTCTGAGCTGAAAAATGCAGTAATTGGATCTATCCATATTATAGGTTCTTATTCAAAACTAGTATCCTTAAACAGATTGTCTTATCTAATCTAATGTCCCCCTTAATTCTGGGGGAAGAGTGTTGGAGAATGATGAGCCCTTGCCACAGACATACTCGTAAGAGGGAGACCTATGATCAAGAGAGATGGAACTTCTTTGGGAGAGGCTCGTTAGAAAAAAGTCCGGAGAACAGTAACAGACAATGTCTCCAAAGTATTGACCTTTTGTTTCCATATCACTTATACCTTCTTCTGAACGGTTCTAGCTGCTTCACAAATACTAAGCCCAAAGAAATGAAGGCTGATATGTAACTTAGACTAATGACTCCCCCAACAAGTATCTAGTTACCATCCATTCTAAATCAGAAGTCTTCTAAAAGTGTGATGAAAAAGAAGGAAAAGTAAGGGAAAGGGAAGTTAGGACACAAATTACAGTTAAAATTGATACCAGCCCTAGTGGCAGTTCAGTGGTAGAATTCTCGCCTTCCACGTGGGAGACCCAGGTTCAATTCCCAGTCAATGTGCCTCACGTGCGGCCACTGCTTGCCTCTCACGTGTGTCAGAGGAGAACTGTGCCCCAGAGGGTTTTCAGTGGCTGATTTTTCAGAAGTAGATCACCAGGCCTTTCTTCCAAAGCACCTCTGAGTGGACTTGACCCTCCAACCTTTTGATTAGCGGTCGAGCATGTTAATAGTTTGTGCCACCCAGGGACCCCACCAATGCGGCTTGCGTGGGGAGGCTGGTGTGTGGCTATGATGCTGAACAAGTTTCAGTGGAGCTTCCAGACTAAGACAGACTAAAAGAAAGGCCTGGTGATCTGCTTCTAAAAATCAGCCAATGAAAACCCTGCAGATCCCAAGGGTCCAATCACATTATGCACGGGGTAGTAAACAACAACGATGATCACCTTAAAAGATACAAGAATGAAACGTGTTCTCATAACTCCCACCAACGAAAATTACTTGGTAGAAGTTCTGACTCACTTGTTTTTACTAGCTTATTATTTAGCAGATCTGGGGTGATATAATAGAAGCAAGAACAATAAATACAGGACCAGTTACAGATTGTGATGAATTCCTACAAAGAACCTCAGTATGCAGTATAGCTATGGTACACTGTCAAAAGCACAGACAAGGGAAGAGTCTGAGCTACAGAAAACAGTGATCTGTTTTATTTTTCTCCACTATGACAGTACAAAGGAGTCCTGGTGGAGCAACAGTCAAGCACTTGGCTGCCAGCCGAAAGGTTGGTGGTTCGAATCAGTGGCTCCATAGGTGAAAGATCTGGTAATCTGCTCCTGGAAAGATTACAGCCTAGAAAACCGTATGGGGCAGTTCTACTCAACATGACAGTACATACAGGACAGTACAAAGGAGCGTGGAGGAAGAGGGAGAAGGCAGACATTATAGCTCTCTCCACATATCTATTTCAACAGCAACCTTGTTCTCTATGCGTTTCTTGGAAATGGGCTTTCTCTCTTTAGATTGCAGGCAAGGTCTGTTTCTTTGTACATGCTCCAGTTATACTGACTTGTATGCTCTGATATAACGAACACAGTGATGGAATGCTACCTATTGATTTAAAGCAGTAATTCCTGCATTTTTCAAAAGCAAGGTATACTCTTGTGAAAATAATTGAGTTAGAATATATACACTAATAGTCCCATCTTGAACTGCCTTGCACTGGAATTGATTTTTCCAATCTCTTTTTAGTACTCTCACCAAAAACTGTGCATGGCGCACTAAAATCATCCAGTACCAGTCCTGGTATTGAAAGTACGTTATGATCTACATTGGACAATCTCAATCAGGGCTCTCTACATTTGGAGAGGCATTGACTTGGCAAAACATGGAACTTTACATACAGCACTTTCAACTCTAAATTTCCTTTATGATTTATAAGGGCAACAAAGAAAAATTTCCTCACATTAAAATAATAATTTCTATCTCTTCAGAAACCCTACTGCATCTCTAAAACTAATATCCATTTTGCTTCCTATCTCATCCTGATCCTTCAGTGAGTGATCCACTTTCATGGATTCTTTTTTTTTTTAATTGTACTTCAGGTGAAGGCTTACACAACAAATAGTTTCTCATGAAACAGTAGTACACATACTGTTTTATGACATTGGTTAACAATCCCACAACATGTCAACCCCCTCCCTTATCCACCTTTTTTTTTTTTTGCTGAAACTATACATAGCCAAAGATACACCATTTCAAAAATTTCTACATGCACAGTTCAGTGACATCAACTACGCTCTTCCAATTGTGCTGTTATTCTCACTTATGATGAAGGCTTACAGAACAAAAGTTTCTCATTGAACAGTCAGTACACATGTTGCCCTATGACAATGGTTAACAACCTCACAACACATC